GAGGTGTCTAAGTGAAAGATCGTGCCAAGTTTAGGGGGCCACCGATGGGTTAGCCCTAAATTAAAATCTACAATTTTATTTTTAGTTCATTTAAGAAGGAACAATTAAGCGTTGCAATAATTAGCACCGCCCGTACAGATGTCAGTTCACATGACGAAAGGGTTTCCAGCATTTTAGTTGACAGCCACGTCAGTAGCAACTTTTGACACGATTCCGTACTTCCATTCTCCTTTTAACACGTGTCCAGGACCTCCTTCCAGCTTACTTTGTGAGTCCTCCAAGTTTTGAATATTTTTAGGATGACCCCATTCTTCAAATTTAGCTTCACGTGCCAAATTGTCAAAAAGTACTTTTTATACCTCACATGAATCTTACTTTGTAATTTATTATTTTTTTAATAACAAGTCAACATTATGTTTACCTGTTCTGATAGCTAACACATATCAACAACAACTAATATATAGGGTCGTTTGGTTTGAAAATGAGTTATGATGAAATAAGTTATGTTGGAATAAGTTGTGATGAAATTATTTCTTATTGAGTGTTTGATTTGTTGTATTCAAAATAATATATATTGATAAATTTTAAGAACAACTTATTTGTTTACAAAATTACCCTTCACTTTATTTATTTTTTAAAACTTTCTTTGCGAGCTTTAGTTATTTATTTTTTAAAATAAAACTTTTATTTTATTTAACATAAATATTTTTGTTTATGTATTCCCATGATAAGTACCGTGTGTATTTAAAAATATAACTTTTTTTTATTTAGCTTAAAAATAGAACTTCCTCTTTAGTTTGTTAAAGAGAAGAAAATTTATGAGAAATCAAAACAAAATAAACATAAGAATTAGTCAAATAAAAATTATATTTATATAGTGTAATTTTTTAATAGAAAAATATTAATGATTATCATAAAAATAAGTAGTAGTAAATATTATTATACATGGTATTAAAAATAATGTAAATATAAATAAATGTAAAAAATGATGTATAAAAAGGATTTAAAGGGATATATTTGTCATTTACCTATTTTATCCCGGGATAAGTTATCCCGAGATTACTATACCACCCAATATGAGGGATAACTTATCCCGATACTAATTCATAATCCTGGAACAAGTTATCCTAAGTTTTCCAACCAAACAAGGAAATAAAGGCTACTTAAAATTTATACCGGGATTAACTTCCCTTATCCATTACACCAAACGACCCCATAGTGTTATCGCCTCATGGAGTAGGTAAGTACCCTCCATTCATAAGTCATAACCAAAATTTTCGAGTACATAAATCCGATCCGAATAAAAAAATAAAAGGAAGTTTGATTAGGAAGCACATCAATTTGATACGACATAAAAATAGATTGTTCTTGAAGAAAATATTTCACTCCAAAACCATCAAGCACTTAATTTCAAAATTCAGCAAGACAAATACATTCTCTGCTGCCAAGTTATCAGTGAAGGTGATGAATTTAAAGAACCTTATGTATCATGAAGTGCATTCGACTTGAGATTTTTAATTTCAGTAACACTGTCAAACTACATATACAATACATAAAGATATAATAGCAACCTTGTGAAGACTGTTGTCAAACTATACTTCAACTTCTTTGCATCCAAAGTCATATGGCACTAGTCCTTTCAGTTCAGGTCCATTGAGTCTGTTGTGTGCAAAACTGAAACAAAAGGAATGTCATCAAGAGTTGCATTGATTGCTCATTTTACTACAAGTAGAACTACTAACAACACACAACATTGAGGAAGAAAAAATCTGAATCTACCATTGAATTGCACTATATAGTAAAGGTCCCAACATATGTGTAAGTCACGAATCAGGACAGCTCCTTCGGAGTTTGATGTTGTGATACTGGTTCTAGCTCAAATATCACAGCTTTACCTATAAATATGACATATCCTAATCGTTGGAGGTCTCAAGTTCGAAACCCCTTGCTAGCGAAAGCAAGGGGTTTGCCTTCTGAGTCGAGCTCATCGCATCAGGCTTGCCTAGTGCGGGTTACCTCTCCTATGTGGTTTGCGAGCTATTGCATAGGAGCGGGGGTTTTACCCTGTGCGCACCCAAAGAATAGCGGCTGCGGGTTTTTCTTGTCATAAAAAAAAAAGAATGAGAGATTTGATGAACTGGAACATTGGGGGTTGTAACTTGTATGTGTCATCCGATTTCAATAAGACAAGGTCAATGAATGGTTTGAGGATTAAGCTCAGAACCTGTGTCTATGAACCTCAAAGCACATTTTTAGCATGATGCAACCCGTCATTTAATAGATTTCTTTCTCCCCCAGTAACACAGCTAACAGAATGAAGCTCAAAACAACCTTCACCAATAAAATTGGCAGTACCATATCAAGGGATAGTTAAGAGGATCAGTGAAAATGTAAGCAAATTTTCAAGAAAGAAGAAATAATGATTACCCTTCCATAGGAAAGCTTCCAAAGGGTCCATCAGCAGGGATTGTTCCACAAAGATTGTTGTTAGAAACATCACTGCAGCAATGCAATAAACAAATACACTCAAGCAGAAATCAACGCCATATTGTTTGATTGTCCTTTTCTGTTTCATGGTGTAAATACGAAGGTAATAACAGCAGATATGAATTTGAGAACTTACAATACTTTAAGGTTGGGGAGTGTCGTAAGTTCCCTTGGAATCGAACCAGTTAGTTTGTTGTCATTTAACCGTCTGTAGTCATAGCATAAAAAAGATTCAATCTTAATAACATCACATCAAATATCTACTAAAAATGTCATACTCATGAATTATTCAATGAGAATACTTACAAAAATCTAAGAGACTTCAATTTAGCAAAAGATTTGGGAATGTTGCCTTCAAATCTATTGCCATATAGGTCCATGCTAATAAGATTTTCCAGATCACCAAATTCCTTTGGGATTTCCCCTTCTATGTTATTACTATAAAGTTCCCTGCAATTCAGGATAAAGTTTGTCCATCATCTTAAAGATCAGATAGATAGACTTGCAAGCAAAGAAAACACACAAAAGATTGAACTGTTAATCACAGAAACAACATTAATCATGTGATACATAGCTATTTCTTTGTCTAAAAAACGCCCCTTTTTCTACAACGTTTTCGTTACTTTATCCACGGTTTCAGTACAGCCAACAAGAGATACTAAACTGAGACAAGAAACAAAAATACAAGAAAAGAGATAAACAAAGAAATATACAGGTACTGTAGATTCTTGAGTTCACCAAGCTCTGGTCCTAAAGTTCCAGAAATATTAGAATTGCCCAAATCCCTGCAAATTCCAAAAAAATTTAAAAATCATAAGAATTGTCAATTACTATCAACAACAAGGAGGCTAGAATGTACCAGACTTAAGGCTACATTCAAATCAAGAATAAAAAAAGAAAAAGAAAAAATCAAGACTCTCTTACAGGCGAATAACATTATTATCTGAGTCACAGGTAACATGAAACCATGTACAAGGATTTACAAGTGTAGGGTCCCAGCTTTGTAGAACATTTTTTGGGTCAGAAAGTTTGGTTCTCAAAGAATGCAAAGCAGTACCTGCAAAACAAAAACAAAATAAAAAAAAAAGAATTTGAGTAAGAGGGTCCATTTCAAGATTGAACCTTTTTCTTTCTTTTATACAAATATTTCCATTTCCAAGATTTTAACTCAAACCCCATGAACTAAAAAGAAGAAAAAAACAAAGAGGGGTTCGCAAAGCTGAAATCTTTAAACCCTAAGAAAACATGGGAAACTTGAATTAGCAGGAATTACCTTCAGAATTTGTGGAGAAGGCAGGGGGAATACAAAGAATGATTTGGAAGAAGAAGAAGAAGAAAAAGTAGGAAGGAGAAGCCATTGAAAAAATGGAGAAACAATGGAAGTGATGAGTCAAGAAGTTTTAGGCCAAAGAAGAAAGTACATGTAGTAGTGGTAGAACCAATAGGGGTGTTACATAAGAGAGAGATAGAGAGAGAGAGGTCAAGTCAAATTTGGAAGCTGTAAAATACTGTTGAGTGTTGAGTGTTTGTACAACTGTTGAGTACTTTGTACAAGTTATTACTATTAAAGTGAGAAAATGAGACCAGTGTTCACTGCTCAGTTCTGTTGTTCACACTATCACTGTGAGATTTTCCACAAGGACTTTCCTCCTGTCTCAACTCTCAACTGATATAATTGTCTACCAAATGCCAAACCACAAAATTAAAAGGGGTTAAGTATTTAATTTCCTAATTTTTAAGTATTTATGTGAACTCAAATCCAACATTGTTGATTGAATGTCATCTCAACCATTTCACTATACTCTCAATAATTACATTCAAATTTATGTAAGCATTTAATATTAAGAACAAAATTGGGGGGGTTGGGAGGGGGTGTGGATTGTTTTTTTTTTTTTGGATTTAACGGCTTTATCATGTAATTGAATATATTTTCTTGGATAAATCCAGTTTGATTTCAAGAGATTGCTATAAGTCGGTTGAGATAATTTCATCTACATGATTTTAGATTTACTTCATTTTTAGTAAATAACAACAATGTATTAATTGAATGATATATTTTGGATGTCTTGGGTAAAATATGGCCAAAATTATCTTCGCTATTTTCTCTCATCTTATCCTTACATTACTTCAAGTACTTTGTTTAATTTGGATGTCCGGTAATTGCAATTATCTCAAGTACTTTGTTTAATTTGTACAATATATAATTTCTTTCTAATATTGCAGATACGTTTAGTTGCTCACTCATATACACAGAAGGAATATAGACAAGCAATATGTACAAATTTGCAGCACTCTTCTTTACATTGCAACCTTCAGTTACACATTCGAAAATGAAAAAAATAGCATTCTAATTCTATTTACCTCAAAAAAGATCCATCTCACACGAGATCACTATACGAGTAGTGAAGAAGTATTCAAAAGTTTAGTTGGTTGTTATGAAGTTGACCAACGGAAAGCATGGGAGGGAAAAAACAAAGAATTTATGATAGTTTGAATCTAATAGTTCTCATAATTTCACGCCTCCTCCACGGTTCCCTTCCTCTCTTCTTCTTCAGCTTTAAGCCAGGCAGCCTACAAGGAAAACAAGAGAAAAGTCGTGAGAAGTAGAAAAAGGAACAACAATATAAAATGGCTTAAGAATGAAGTTAATGCACTTGCCTTGTCTCTCTGAAGTCTAGACATACGAGGACGCATAGAGTTCCCAAGACTTAAGCCTCCCCAAGCTTCTTGCAACTCCCTCTCCCTTATAGCTTTCCGAGTAATTGAATGTCTTACCTGATCATCATCATCCTCTGGCTGAATAGCAGCCATCTTTTCTCTCTCAAGTCTCGACTTGTGTTTCACCAAAATCTGATCCAAACTGCCTTCATTGTTCTGCAACTGTTTTCCAATGGTGTCCCTTTTCTTTACATTCAGCAAATTGTCTTCCTTTGAATGAAAAGACATTATCTCTTTTTCAAGCTTTGAAACATGCTTCACTAAAATCTTGTCCAAACCTTCGCTATCAGTGGCACTATTAGCTTCAATCTTTCTTTGAGTCCTCTGTGCACGATAGTCTCTTCTTGTTGATGATTCTTGCATTTTAAGTCTTTGTAGACGATGAACTGGCTTTACTAGAATCTTGTCCAGACTATCCACAGCTTCTTTGTTTTCAACCTCAAATGATAATGTGTCTGCTGGCTTTGATGGTTGTTTTCCATTACAAGAATTTACATTGTGGTCAACATTTTCTTTTCCTACCAATGAGGTAGTCTCAGACACATTGGCATTAGGGTCAGCAGTGTTTTCCCTATTTTTTGCTTCTTGAATTTCCTTTTCAAGTTTGGTCATATGTTTCACCAGATAATCTTCTAAACTAGGAACATCCATTTCATGTTTCTTTCTTCGACCAATTGCCACAGTACCCAATCTATTCGAATTCTTGCCCTCTATTTCACTAAGTTTTTCATTCTTCCTCTTAGCCTCTTCAATATCTTTCTCAAGCTTTGAAGAGTGCTTAACCAACACACTGCCTAAGTCAGGAACCTCAAATGAATGCACATTGCTATTTGAAGCTTTACACTTGTTTTTTAACAACGTCTCGGAGTTGTTCTTGGCCTCTTCAATTTCCTTCTCAAATTTTGAAGAAGGCTTCTTGAGAATACTTGCCAGATCATTGCCTGTATCTGTAGGGTAGTCTGCGTGAACCACTTTATCACTAGACTTATCTCGTGTTCTTTCACATTTTTCCCCAGCTTCACTCCTGGCATTTTTGGCTTCTAAAACCTCCCTTTCAAATCTCGTTAATCGCTTCACCAAAAACTTGTCCAGGCTTGGAACCTCAGATGAATTATCTGAAGCTTTACACTTGGTTCTTACCAAAGTTTCGGAGTTGTTCTTGGCCTCTTCAATTTCCTTCTCAAATTTTGAAAAAGATGGTTTCTTAAGAATACTTGCCAGATCATGGCTTGAATTTGTATGGTATCTCGAATGAATCACTTTATGACAAGATTCATTTTGACTTTGTTCACTTCTTTCCCCAGCTTCACTTCTAGCATTTTTGGCTTCTAATACCTCCCTTTCAAGTCTAGTTAACCGCTTAACTAGAAACTTATCCAGGCTTGGAAGTTCCTCAGCGCCCTTAACTGTTCCGTCTCCTACAGATAATTCTGATCTGTCATCAGCAGCAGACCCTGAAACATGCACTTTGCTGTTTTCCGCTTCAGCTAGAGCAGCGTTCAACCCACACGTTGCAACTATAGTAGCAAGAGATGCAAGTTCATCTTCTTGCAAACATCTAAGCCTTTCCAGCATCATTTCCACAAGATTTGGCATATTAAACTTTTCATACGCCTGCTTCTTTTTATACTTCCTTTCCTTTTCTTTTTCTAACTCTGTGGCTTCGGAAGCAGTATCTGATTCACATTCTGAAGAGAACTCAGACATTTCTTGATGATTATCATCTGTTTCAGGGTTCTGGCTTATTCTGTGCAGCAGTTCCTTGACTTCATCTTTGTTCATAGAAGGGCAATTAGCAAGCTTAAGAAGGGCAGCCTTAACTGCACTTGCTACTTGTTTATCTACCTCAAATGCAGTTTCAAAAGATGTTCTAACAGTATGAGTGGTGGGTCCTCCTCCTTTTGCTGGTGACTTTTCTATTTTGTAATGCTTCTGTGAGCAATCAGGAATGTCATACAAGATTACTCCAATAGCTGTTGCTGCTTCAAAAGCATCTGCAGAATATTTTTCTGCCTTTATCAGCAATTGTTCTGCTTCTTTACAATCAATCCTGTATGGCAGATACAGAAAAGGTAAGTTCTAGACTAACATATGACCAAATCTATATTCAATCAATCAACAATGTCTCTGTCATAAACAAGCTAATATTGGCTATTTTTTCCATTTCTTGCATGTCGGCCGAAATTAATTACGGGCGCTAGTACAAAACATATAACACTGATTATGCATATATTATATGTATACAACAACATACCCAGTATAATTCCACAAGTGGGGTTTGGGGAGAGTAGAATGTATGCAGACCTTTACCTCTCCACCTTCAGGTTGTTTCCAATAAGACTCTCGACTCAAAACAAATGTAATTGACGCAAGAAAGTAAGAAAAAGAGACAACAAGATAACAATGTACAAAACAAGTGTAGCAACAGCTATTAAATTAATATACATTAGAGAAACTAACGATACCTAAATCATACAACAGCACAACAACACTCGACTACCTAGTACCTTCTACCCTAATTCTCCACCTCCATAACTTCCTATGCATGTTCTCAGCTGTGAGTATATTATATGTATATTTATACTAAGATATACCAAACCTATACATTTTCTAGCTATTTTGTAAATTAGATCACCAAAAGACATTGAACTGTAACTAACTATCTCTAAAATTTAATGTATCCAATATCACATAATTAGCAAATGAACTCCTGTATGAATTTCTAAGCAGAAAAAAACAACTCCAGACAAACACCGGATCTAATGCATGCAACAACAAATACAGATAAATGAATGTTAAATTGCTCACCTTGAGGCTTGAAGTATTCGGCACCATGATGCTTCAACAAGTGCAGCCTTCCGAGCTTCCACAGCTCTTTGAGCAGCTTCTCTTACTGCAATTTTTTCTCTCAAAACTCTACAATAGTGGGGATTTGCATCCCCCAAAGTCTCATCAAGAGTTGAGTTCATACCATCCACTTCCTGAGATTTCACAACAGGCCAAAAACACTATCAGTACTTCTTCTACTATTTATTGACAATAAAAAAGAGAATGCTCAAGCATATAAATATACCTGGAGCATTTTTATTTTCCTCTTCAAATAGGAATCCACTTTCTTGCGAGGGAACCAATTCAGAGGCGAAGTTTTGCGATGAGGAGGCTTTCTAATTTGTGATCCAGATTTGTTTAAAGAAACTAAACTTGACTGGCCACTTTCTTTCGTTGCCTTAGTCTGCACTATTCCAAAACAACAAAATGAAAACCCAAAATTGGACAACACCAATTAAATAATACTTCAAAGCAACTAGATTCGACTGGCCACCTTCTTTGATTGCCTTGTTCAGCACTAATTGAAAACAAGACAACTACCAAACTTTGACAACACACCAATCAAAGTGAACATTTATGTGAATTTGCTTAAAAGTAACAAAATCTGATTGTCAACCTTCTTCATTTCCTTGTTGTGCAATCCTAGAAAACAAGAACATGAAAAAACAATAGAAATATACACCTTTTTAAGCAAAGATCTAGGGTGTGTTTGGTATGGAGGAAATATTTGGTTGATCAAAATGTTTTGTACAAGTGAAATTCCAAGTTTATCATCTCCTCCCCACCCAACCCTCACCCCCCTTGATCATCCCAATCCCGCCACCCCTGAACCCCCCACTCCCCATCCCTACTCACCTCCATATCGTTTTGCTAGATAACATAAAAATGCTCTTGGGATAATATTCTCTTACTTACATACCAAACCACACCTCTAATGCAAATAACACTCTGGAGAAACTTACATTTTTCATAAAGCCTAATTAGCCACCGACTTCTTTAAACACTCATACTCAATGATAATGAAGTTTTAGTTTGGTCACTACCGTTACATCCACTCACAAAATCTTTAAGCTAACAATAGATAACAATCAAGATTAACATTGGGGGATCAAATTAAATCTTTCTTCCTAATTACGAACAAGGGTTTTGGAAAACCCCAAAATCAAAAGAACCCCAACCAAGAAACATAAGCAAAATCAAGAAAATAAATTCAAAAACTAAACAGAGTTTCTTCCTCAGATATCAAAAAAGAATGGGTAATGGGTACCTTTCCGACTCTGGAAGCGGCGGTGGGACTGTTCTCTGAATTAGAAAAATTGTCGTTCGCCGGCTTCTTTTCAATACAACCCATATCAAAACAACCCAAATCCATTCTCCACAAAATCAAAATTGATGGAAATTGAATCTTTCGTAGAACTAAAAAAAGTAATTAGTTAAATGGCCTCAACAATGTGTTGCAGTATACGAAGTGCTTACTGAAATCAATGGAGAAATTATCGTTTCTTGAATCTAAATTGTTTTCTTAAAGAAGAATTGAAGAAGTTTGTTTTATTTTACAAGAAGAGAGCATGGCTTTTGAGTAAAGAAAAACTATCCGTTACAACCGATCATTTCGTTCCCAACGGTTCTTTTTATATATTTTTGTTTATTGTTTATCGTTCTTCCTTGTACCCTTAATAATAAATACTAAATAGATAATAACTATTAATAAATGATACTGTAATGAATAATTTTAGAAAATACTGGAATTTAAGATTTATATATTTTTTTCCTTTTTCATTATCTTAGTTATCAACTCTGCCGTAAGTGGTCCTTTTGATTAAATATCTTATCAGGATACAATGATATATACATTAAAATAAATTATCTTTATCTAATTAAAGACAATTCTACATGGACTAAGCAAGTAAAATTTTGTATTTTGATACATTTACTTTAAGATTAACATTTTAAAAAAGAAAAAATTAATACGGAGACATAGTTATGAAATGAAAAGATTTTAAGATGAGTGGAGCCTTTGGTGTCTTATGTGATAAAGAAGAGTCACCAAACCAGAGTAGTGTGATAAAAAGATACCAGGTAAGTTTTATAAAGCGTTAGATCGACTTTGTTATTTGATATAGAATACCAAAACTAAAGTGCTCGAGTATGGCCTCTTTAGAAACACCGAAAAATATTTATCCGCATCCAATATTTAAATCAAATAAATACAAATGAACTATCACACAGAGAAGAATGTTACAGAAAAATAACAATACTACACTCCCCAATTCTCAAAGTTCAGATGAACTTGAACAAAATTGAAAAGATTTTGCTTAAAATGTCCAGAGAAACATAATAAGGGCAAACATTTTCTGTGTTTGGTTTAAAGGAACTGGTCCTTGTAGATCATTTCTTGCCAGCATCTCCAGCCTTCATCTGCAAAATTCAACCAGCCAGAACATCAGAACAAGAATAAATGAAACCTCTCAATGTTGCAGCAGCTGAGGAAAAAATAAAAATCATTACCTTCTTGACAACGTGTACTTTCTGGGCTCTATTCTTCCGCTCCTTCATCTGCTTCCTAGACTTCTCTACCTTTGTGTCTAATCAATGCTGAACAAGTTGATCAATCATCGAAGAAGTTAGCCTAAAATCAAGTACAGCCTCAGTCCAATCACGAAGCCCGATGATTCAATGCTGAAGGTGCACTCAACATAATGGAGTATGAAAACTAAAGCATTTACTTTACTCAGTGATAAGAGCACAAAAACATGAACTTATTTGCCAATAGCGACAGGAAGATGAAAACATAGTTACCTCATGAGCACCATTCTCTGGCATTTTGGAACATCCGCAACCAGGGGCTTGGACCCTTCTTTTCCACATCCCAATTCTTGGGATACCATGGAAACTGCCACATCAAGAAACAGCGTTCTGGATGAGGCATCAATGCAAGATGTCTGCCATCTGGAGAACAAATTGCTGCCACGCCCAAGGGAGAGCCATTAAGATTGAAAGGATATACAACTGTTGGTCTGCCATCATCATCGCAATATTTCACTGGTGCCAAGTTTGAGCCAAGAAAATGATTGAAAATACTCTCATCAGGGAAATAAGCTCTTCCTTCACCATGAGCAGCCCAAACACCCAGGGTACTACCTTCCATATCTTTGAACATTATGGATGGTGATTCTTCTATTGTCACACTCGTGAAACGGCACTCAAACCTTCCTGACTCATTATGTACAAACCTTGGCTGTGATGGGTCCCCGCCAGCACCCAAAACACCTCCCACTTGGGGCCCTGGAACCCAACCCAACAGAGCCATAAGTTGGCAACCATTGCAAACTCCAAGACTGAAAGTGTCTGGACGGTTATAAAAGGCCTGAAATTGGTTTAAAAGAGGCTGATTAAAGCGAATGGACGCTGCCCAGCCTTTCGCAGAATCAAGTACGTCAGCATAACTAAAACCTCCAACAAACACAATTCCTCTAAATTCATCAAGTTTGATTTCTCCATTGAGAAGGTCTGACATTGCAACATCCCATGGTTCAAATCCAGCAGCATAAAAAGCTGCAGCCATTTCTCTATCACCATTGCTGCCTTCTTCACGGATAACTGCAACCTTTGGCTTTGAACTGGCAGTCATGTACTTGTCATCAGTAAATTTTGGTGTGAAGGATAGTTTCCAGGATGGTTCATGCCGATATTTCAATCCTTCTTTTTCTAATTCTACACATGAAGCCAGTCTTTGGAACTTTTCCAGTTGAAAGCTGGTATCTTCCCACATATCCCTAAGGACAGAAGTTTTCTCATTCAAATGTGTTACCCCGTCAACCCTCAATTCAACTATTGGAGATGAATTAACTTGACCAATGATATCAGCTAAAACAGCACCAAGGCGGAGCTTTTCCAGAACTAAATCCAAGTTCTTCCGGCTAACTTCAATGAGAAGGCCAAGCTCCTCTGCAAAAAGTGTTTGGGGTACACTACTCCCTGAAGAAACTAAATCTAAGTTAATGCCACAGTTCCCTGCAAATGTCATTTCAAGGGCAGCCACTATAAGTCCTCCATCACTGATATCATGACCGGCAGATATCAGCTCATCAGAGATTAGATTCTGAACCTCATTAAAAACAGTTTTAAGATAAGAGACGTCATCCACATCAGGACTTTCATCCCCAATTTGATCAAAAACCTGGGCAAGAGCAGATCCACCAAGTCGCCGTTTCCCTTTGGCCAAGTCAATGTGAAGCAGTATACCATCATCACCAAGCTTCAAGTCTGGCGTAACCGTCTTAGTTATATCAGGGCATGTCACATAAGTACTGATGACTAGATTCCCTGGAGCTTTAACAACTTCCCCGGATGCCTGGGCTGCCATGGAAAGACTATCTTTCCCCCCATCAATTGCAATTCCAAGTTCAATCATAGCTTCAGAAAGAGCAACAGCAGCATCATACATTGCAGCGCCTTCGCCATCTAGCTTTGCAGCATACATCCAATTCCCACTTGCTTTAACATCAGAAAGAGATGTAACTTTCGCCCAAACTAGATTTGTGAGTGCTTCTCCGACAGCCAACCGTGCCATTGCTTTTGGATCCAAAAGACCTTTTATTGGCTGCTCCCCAATTGAGCATGCACCTCCAGTTAAGCCTGTATAAGTTTGAGCTATTACAGCAACATCAGCAAGAGGAATCTGCAAGGGACCCACAGTTTGCTGCTGTGCCACAAGGCCTGTGACGCACCTGTCAACTTTAGTGGTTAAGAACCTTTTCGAACAAACAGAAGGAAGCCTCAAGACTCTCTTCAGTGAATCTAAAATTGTTGTTGCAGGAGCAATATCAAGTGGCTCATGCAGAGTATTCATGCGATTTAATTCAAATGTCTTTTTAGGCATATCGCCAAGAACCTTCTCAAGCTCAAGATCAACTGCAGGTGGAGGAGGAGGCAGTCCACTAGACCTGCTTTTTTCAATTGCTACACTATCCTGCAGAACAATATGCCCCTCACCATTAATTGTTCCAATAACAGCCATGGGAACTCTTTCCCTTGCACAAATAGCTTGCAAAAGACGACGACTTTCAGGCTTCACCAGTATTGCATCTTGCTCCTGGTACTCTGCACCCCAAATTTCTAGAACAGACATGGTGTGATCACCAATTACAATTGCCCTTATATCAATTTTGGCACCCTCTGGGTGTATTATCTCCTTCACGACATTACAGTTTCCACCAGCACCCTGATCATGAATACTAATGATGGGGTTGTTTTCACCAATTTCAACACAAGCACGAACAACCCGATATAACTTCTGTGCCATCTCAGCATCTCCACGCTGCACGGCATTGAAGTCAAGCTCGGCATCATTCTGTCCACTGACCATGCTGGATGCAGCACCGCCTCCCATTCCAATGCGATATGCTGGTCCTCCAATCTTAACTACCAACATACCAATTTCGGGTTCTCCCTTTGATATGTGAAGGTGATCTATTTGCCCAATGCCAGCACTAAACATGATTGGCTTCAACCATTCCCTTCTCTCACCACTTGGCAGTCTCATTCCAAAATTTCTGAGTATAACCCTGGATCAAGGGCTCCCCAAATTTATTTCCATAATCTGATGCTCCATTACTAGCATCAATAAGGATCTGCAGTGGTGATGCCAAATTTGCTGGGTATGTGAAAGAACGATCTTCCCAAGGAGCATATGACTCTTCAAGATTAAGATTCCCAACACAATATCCAGCTGTAGATGCAACAACAATAGAACCCCTTCCAGTAGCATGGGTATCTCGGATACGGCCGCCTGCACCTGTCTCAGCTCCAGGATAAGGTGCCACAGCACAAGGGAAATTGTGGGTTTCTGCAGTAAACAAGATATCAAGGAATCTGGCAGTCACATCCAAGGGGCATGTCGAGCCAGGCTGAGTAGGTCGCAATTGTTTCACTGGAAATCCCTTGATAGCACTGGAATTATCTTTGAAACCAATAACCGAATTATTTGGATTTGCAAGCAAAGTGCTTTTGACGATCTGCATAAGAGTCTTATCCACAGGTTGACCATCTAGTACAAGCTTCCCAGTAAAGAACCAGTGCCTACTGTGTTCACTATTAGATTGAGCAATATCAAATAGTTCTACATTAGTTGGGTTTCGCTTAATGTCATCCCTGAAAAGTTTGGTGTAGTACTTTAAGTCTTGCTCATCAAAGGCCAAGCCCATTTTCTCATTAATTTCCTCCAATGCCTTACGACCCTTTTCCATGATAGGTATATATCGAACCTCCTCTGGAACTATACTTGTCTTGAAAGAGGAAAGCTTCTCAGCATAGACACACTCCGTCATCCTATCATGAACCATCGAAGCAAATGCATTAATTTGACTATCCGGAAGTGACCCATTGACATATAATAAATACCTCCTCGAACGCTCCATTCTATTTATCTCTGTTAACCCGCATGCTTGACAAATCTACACTGCATTAGCAGACCACGCTGTAGTGAAAGACAACCGCGGACCAACTTCAATGATATATGGATCCACACTTTTTCTCTTCTCCCCATCAAGGAAACTCTCACTTCCCAAGCTATCAGGTTCATAAGTTTCTCCTAAAACCCATTTAAGCACAGAAAGTTTATCAATTGAAAGATCTGAACTGAGACCAATGTTAAAGCACTGTTCAGTTTTCAAGCCAATTATTTGATTTGATATCTTTGTCTGAACCAATTTGAGAAGCTCAGCAGTGGCACTGTCCTGTAGGAACGGAACGCGATATAAATGTATCACCTTTTCATCAACCTCCTGAAATTTGTCTGAATCTTCATTTACCAAGCTACTGACATCCTTAGATACAACAGCCCTAATCTTCGCCCTAATATGGGACCTTAATCTCAAATTTTTATGTGAATATGGAACATGGCTCGATCTTGGAAGTGTGCCCCAAAGCAAACGATTTGTCTGCCTACTAGAATGTCTGGGCAATGCTAACTTTTGTCTATGAAAACCCTGTAGTGTAAATAAAGCATATTTAACAACTGTTCCATTGGTGATTAATAAAAACTTTAGTCACCAAAAAAAAAAAACAATTTTCCAAACATCATTAAACAGAACATATTCAAGACAATAAAATAGTGATCATACTTGTAAGAACTCTGTTGCAGCAATGTCCCAAGCAGATGTTGCCATTGCCAAACTCTGTTTCTGCAATGAAGAAGAGATGATAAAAAAAAATTGAGTCTACAATAACAATCACAAATAACATACCCACTAAAAAAATTAGCATAAAAAGGAGCTATAATGGCTTACACGCCAGTTTTTGCGTGTCAAAATATCAAAACTTTGAAATAAAAAATTAATCTTCCTCCACAAATTTTCCTCATACGAGAAAAAAAAAATTTGATTTTTATAGCAAGTAAATACCTTGTTATACCAGTGATAGACTGATAGTGTCCTGTTTTGGGTTCAAGGCCAAAGTTAGAGGGGGCGAAAAGGGTAGAGAGGGTTTAATGGTGGAAGGAGCAAAATCAGTGATAGTGTTCTGTTTGGGGTTTAAGACCAAAACCCTAGCTTTTAGAAATTCTCTAATTCTATATGTCGTATATTGTTTATTTCGATTTCCTACTAATGTTGTTAACTTAAGGCATTAGAATCTGATTATTTCAAACTTTTTTTTATGTTCATCCATGTTAGAATTAGATTATTCTGAATTCAAACCGCATATAGAATTAGAATCAGACTATTTCAAATTCGCACCACATATTATTATGTTTATTGTCAAATAAATTATGGTATTTATGTAAATTTAAGAATTTTATGTTTAAAATTAACACCAAACATTAATTAACTTAATTATTCTACTCTACTCCGTATCACATCAAATGGGAAGAAGAAAATATATATAACTTTAAAAAAAAATTAATCTATAATCTATAATTTACATAAGGGAATTTGTAGCATTTTGGAAATTTATTTTTAATTTCATTTTTTTATAAAAAAGTTTTATTTTTATACATAAAAAATTTAAAAATATCTTTTAGTTTAATTTGTAAATGATTATAAAAAAATACTTTCACAATTAAGTTATCACAACCATATCGTAATATTTCAAACAAAAGTATTAGATTCTTTTTTATGTCTTGTCTCTCTACTCTTTGATTCAAGATGCCATAAGCCCATAACGAATGTACGAAAGTTCACATTGAAGATGTTGATAAATTGATTTGCGTATATATATATATAGCTTTACTCATGATACGAATAATATTTTATGTAAGAATGTGTACTAATTAAGTATAATTTAGGGTATTATGGCTGGATTTAGTTTATGGATATGTAAATACACTATAACATCAAAAAAATTAAGAGATACGGGGATCTAATTTTTTTTAATCCTTTTTAATTAACAAGAAATAACAAAAATGGCCTCTTGTATTTAAAGGTAAGTTTAAAATAATCTCTTAATTAAATACTCCTTCCGTCCACTTTATTTGACATGTTGTACTTTTCGAAAGTCAAATTGACTCATTTTCAAAGTTAAATTAGATTACATTAATTTGATATTTTAAACAAAAAATTTAGATATTTAAAAACTAGACAAAAAGTACTAAATATTGTCAAAAGTTAATATTTTTAGTCAAATATTTATCGAACTTTGATTGTTAGATTTGATAGAGACTATGCAGGAAAAAATATTACTAGTAAGAACTTACATTTAAAGGTACAATTTTTATAATTTTGATTATTTTAAATTTATTCGAAGGTTAACTAAAAATCTTAGTTTTCAACAAACTTGAAAATTTAACACTATTTTTGAACCTACCCTTCGAACATAAGACATCGACTCTTGTCCATTTTTTCTTTTTTCCAACATGCATGAATATAGTGGTTTAATATTTATGAAACCATATGTTATAGTAATACATTATTTTGCAACGTATCTTATTATTACATTACATTACATTACAACTAGGGGTGTGCACTATTCGGATTAAACCGAATAACCAAACCAAATTAAACCGAATTTTTATTTGGATTGGTTTTTTGGTTTGGTTTCGGATTTTAAAAGATAAAAATCGAAAAACCGAAAAAAATCAAATTTTATATATATATATATATACTGCGTGGAGTCGCGTGGTGTGCCACATAAGTCAAAAGGCGTACAAAGTTACAAAAAAATGAGTTCAAGGGGGTAATGGGACGTTAATTTAGTTAAGGTGTGTCTCTGTGATTTCGGTCATAGTCTAGGGGGTACTTGTGTCTTCTCCCTTTTATGTTTGAATTACATCTATAATAGGTGTATTATACGAATTGTGTTTTAAGTTTTATTTATGATTTATATTAGAAAGTATATTTAATGAATTAAATATTATTACTTTGGTTATATATTATTAATTATTGACATAGTCGAATAACCAAACCGAAGAAAGCCAAACCGAATAGAGGAAAACCAAACCAAACCAAATTTATTTTGGATCGGATTGGGTTACACTTTTACAAAACCAAAAACCGAAAATCCAAACCGAATAGTGTAAAACCAAACCAAAAAACCAAATGCACACCCCTAATTACAACTATATATATATATATATATATATATTATAAGATCACTAGTTATTTTTGGAAGATCCCAAGTCTTTTATTTTATCATCTAATAAGTAGTTAAGAACTAGTAGTAATGTTTATAGGCAATGGGAGAATCCGGGTCGGGTTTTTCAACACCATCTTCACCCCTTGACCAATAATTTTGGGGAAGAGAGGCTGCACCATTTGGTATATCATTCATCACTCTTTCTTGCCCTGTTGGAAAATATATTCCTGTTCGAGGATGTGGCACCCACCACTCCTCCTTCGAGTTTCTTCGTGTTTCACCTCTCTCATCAATATTTTCCTTCCACCTACTCATCATGCGTTTAATTTGGTGCACTTTATGTGGCCTACATCAACCATTAACCCATATTATCTTATATCATGGATGTTAGCAGATAATATTATGCTAATTTAAAAAAATATATACATAAAATATCTAATTTTACAATCACAATTTCATTCACATAAATTTGCCACGGTATAAAAGGACATGATTTCCACCATATATTCTAACTTTTTATTTTTTGTTGACGGATTGAATGAAAAAACGATTCGAGTAGACTTTAGGGATAAGTTGGTAATATTTGGCTCTATTTGTGAAATTAAGTATGATATATATCTTGCTAGCATTTGTGAATGATTTCAAATTATAAATTACTATAAATCTAAAAGTACAAGTAACTAATAACTCAAGGCAATTGAGAGAAGAAGAAATTAAACAACACATTAATTACCTAATTAGTTGTAATCTCTGTGAAAACTTAGTGATTCCAGCTGCAGTCATATGCAGATAAATATTTCTAGTTGATAAACCAAACTATAAATTAGTAAGTGTAGCAATGCAAATCTTTATAGGGATTTAGGGCTTTATATATAATAATATACATAGGAGTAGAATATGATTCTATTCTAAGAAAGTTTGCAAATCTTAAAAGCCTCAAAAAAAGTTTTATATTTTATTTTTATTTTCTAAAAAGATAAATAACAAAAGCAAAACAACTATTGTATGCAGTCTCTCTCACTTTATTTGTCATAAAGAAGTTAAACGTAATTATTTTCTTTTTGTCCACTTTATTAATCTTTTATTATCGGAGTACCGAACGTAAGTCATTTTACTTTTAAAAAGATATTGACATAAATAAATATGTTTTCCTAGACATGGATAGAATTAGAGGTGTTCAAACAAAATCGAAAAATCAAATCAAACACGATAAAGGAAAAACGATAAGATTTGGTTTGATATTGACGTAAGAAAAAAAAAACTATAGGTAAAGCTATAATTCTTATATATTTTAGTTCTTGTAATATTATTAATTTTAAATTAATTGAAAGTTGTACTTTTGATTTGTTTACTTGTGAATATTCCTATATTTACTATGATTATAAATTGTTCATTCACTTAGTATTAAGGTTAGACTAGTGTTATTCCACATTGAACGATAATATAGTTTGAAAAATCATCTGTATATATGCAAAAGAGAATCAAAACATATATTTTAATTAATTAAAATCAAAATTTATCAATAACAATTTTAATACTCCACTTGTTTAAAAAAAGGTAGATTAATTAAGACCTCACTTTTGGTACGCGGGATACCAAAGGCACCAAGAGAGGATAAAAAGTATTTGTTGTCCTTTAAAAGTACATGAAGAACATGTACCATTCTTTAATGATATGACTGCCTCGTAGTAGGCTACAATCCATCAACTTTCCTTCATTATTATTCTCAAGTACAACTAAAATATTTGATGAAAAAATTAAGATTTTTTTTACTTTTAATTAAAAATTTTGAGTTTAAACTTTGAAAATAAAAGATTTTGATGTACATAGCTAATAGTTTTATGAGTTGTGATTTGTGAATAGTAACTAATAGAGGGATAGAATTTGAATATGAATAATTTAATTGCAACAAAAGTATCAAAGTTGTTTAATTTTTGCACTAAAGAACCAAAAAAAAAAAAACTTAGTGTCCTTCTGTTTGAGTGTAAAAATCGACACATATATATCCATATTCTTATGCAAGAAAAAGTAGCCTAGTAGATGCAACTATGGAAACTGGTAAAATCAATGCAAAAACTCTAGATGAGCTGAGAAAAAAACAACATACATTAGATTAATGGTGTAATTTATTTATTTTTCATGGATTTTTTAAAATATGTATTTGAATTGAATCGTCTAAATCTCTACCGTACTTTTGAAAATTTCGATGACCTACTTCCGACGAAACTAATACAAACTCAACTATATACACCACTTTATACTGATTTGACCGGATATTTACCCTTAGCTTTCTACTCCCTCCGTTCCTATTTACTTGTCCATATTTCCTCTTTTAGATGTCCCTATTTACTTGTCCATTTTAACAAATCAAGAAAGGACAAAAAAAAAAAATCCTATTATACCCTTATTTAAACTTTTTAAAAATTTAAACTTTCCCCAACATTGATTAGTTATCTTGAATAAATTTATTTTGGAATCATAATTAATAAGGGCAAAATTGTAACTTCACTATGCTAATCATTGTTGCCTTAATATGTGTGTCATTTCTAAAGTGGACAACTAAATAGGGACGGAGGAAGTACTATATATTAGAAGAGCCGGTGGAAATGTTGGTATCAATTGGCATTTTGAAGGGTATTTTAGTTATTTAAGTTGTCTCGGCGGAAATTTCTTTTTTCTTGTAGATGTTTCGTCTGTGAAGACGTTTTTGCCATTATGATTAGTGTATATATTAAAGTGATAGATGAAAAAGGTTACCCTTCGTGTGGGCCCAACCTCACTCTTTGGACAATTTGCTTGCCACTTCTTTCCTCAACATATATTATCATTTCTTTCCTCTATATTTTTCAACTTACCATTATTTATTTATCTAAAGATTGTTTAGTTCCTCTATATTTTTCAACTTGCCATTATTTATTTATCTAAAGATTGTTTAGTTATATGTATTATTTATTAACATTAACGTATGAACATTATACTAAAAATATTTTTTAGCAGTAATAGCTTGATTGTTGGCTTGTCGCTAAACATGTACTTTTAGTGATAATTAGCTTTTTTTGTAAGTGTTCTTAAAATCTATAGCAAAATTGGATCTAATGACAATTAATTAAATATCGGTAAATATTTTAGCACTCTTTGTTAATGTATATATTTATTGCCACTAAAAATCATTTTTGTTATATTGGGAAGAAATTAAATTTTTGTTTGGTTATTATCATTTATAATGTAAGATTTATATTGATACTTAGTGTACTTACTAGATTTATTAGCAATTGTTTATTAAACGTAACTTGCAACATTAAATTAAATCCATATTTATTAGTATAATATTATATTTGAATTGTGAATTTGACTTTTTAGTTTTATAAGACAAATTATATTAATTACATAATTAAACATTGGTATTTAGTTCAAGCTATTTTATGCTACACAATATTTAACTAGACACAAAGCTTAAAAAAAGTATTTGATATTTATAATTTAAAATGGATCATAAATTTTTGTATGACTATAAATCAATCTTATATTAAGAATGAAATGAAAAGTCTGAAGCTAAAATTATTTCTACCTATCAAGTTATGTTCTTTTCAAAATAAAAATATTTTGAGTTATCATTACTTCACTCATTTTTAGCCAAAATTTTCTTCAATTAATTGTTGAACTCTATTTGGGGTTAAACATTAATTATATCATAACGTACATTTTGATAGAGAAAAAAAAAGATTAAAATTGTAACTTACACTTTTTAAAGAAAATACAAATTTCAAGTGAAAAAATTATGTTGCAAGATCGGGTGTATTTAAGTTTAGTTAGTCAAATAAATAAATGTTTTTAAGGTTGTCAATAGTTTAGGAATAAAATTAATAATTCATGTCGAATTTAGGAGTGTCTTCAATACTCCTCTCTAAAAAAATTGTATAATATAATTTTGAAATTAAAAATAAATTAAATTGATATATACAAGTATTCAAATTCCTGTTGAGTGCAACATAAAAAAATAATATTGGATTTAATAGTATGAAAAAATAAAACTGAATTTAATAGATATAAAATGAAAAATATTATATTACGAATGGCAGTAGTAGTCGAAACATAAATAAATTTCATGCCCATTAAAAAATAATAATTGACATGACTATTTTACTGTTCTATCCATATTAACTATGTAATGTTTAATATTAAATCTTGAAAAATAAGTTGGAGAATACATAATTAATGTTGAGGCTAGTAATGAAAAATAATAATTTCCTTTTCTTGATATATTAGAAGTGACAAATAAAAATGAAAATCTAATTTTAAAATAATGAAAGTGTAAAAATGAACAAGGAGAGTATATCAAAATTGAAATTGTTAGGCCGTGCACAACATGGACGTTCTTCATCTAGTTGTATAAATATTAGTAAGGAAAGCATTAATTAAAAGTAATGGTTAAAAAGTTAGGTCGATAGAAAAAACATCACATCAAAATTTAATCGTTGAATAGTTAAATATATTTGAGTTTTGAATTTTGCCACAATTTATATGAAAATATTTTTATTAAACTAATATAAAATATTTTGAATTATTGTGAAATAGTTGCCATATAACGTACAATTGATATTCCCTCTGTTCAATTTACCTGTTTATTATATTTAAGAAATGTTTCACATTTACTTGTCATTTTTAGCATATTAGAAAATTAGGTAAACTTTAATTATCTATTCTTCAAATTATTTTCAAAAATTAAAATTAAACACCATTTCATATGAACTATTATAAAATATTCATATTAATCATTATTTCTAAATTCACAAAGTCCCCGCAAAGAGGGTAAAAATGAATAATGAATAAAATATAATCCATGAATTAGAAAGTCCATGGAGTGCCAAAAGATAATCATGAAAAGGGTGAAAATTAGAAATAAATAATGGATCCTATGATGATAAATATATGAGCAACTTTAACATATAGTAAATATAAAAATTATATTTGTTTGTTTTAGCTATAGTTTGCATAATTGCGCTCCATAATAAATTTTATGTTTGCTATGGAGCTTTTAATTTGTATAATTCGCTACAAACATCTAATTTTATACAAATTGTTCAGTTTTGTATAAATTTATTTATACGTTGTAATTTATATAATAAGATCTGTATTTGTATAATTATAAGTGTATATGACGAAAATATATGTATTTGTATTTGTATATACACTTTTCTCTCGCTTTATACAAACACAAATGCATTTTATACATTTTATACCGAAATATATAAAATGACTAATTGTATACCGAAAATGGCTAATTGTATACCGATTCAGATGGCAAAAAAAGAGAATGTTTGCTGCGAATTACAATTAAAATAAACTATTGCTATAACATTTAAGTTAAAATAATAGTTTGTTATTTCATACAATTTTCCCTAAATATATAGCCATTGACATAATGGGTGTCTCTTCAGTGGCGTATAAAATAATGCCTAATGATGTTAATCATTGTCATTACCAACATCAGCAAATTGTTTGTACTTGATAAATTTTGGCCTAAATAATTTGTCACCAAGTATGACTTTCAAGTAACTATTTTGAACAAAGACATCTAACTAAACGAAAAAGATTGTTCTAATATTTACCCTTCAAAATAATCATACAAACACCTCCATTTGGTGACTTAAACTATAGGTTTCAATACTCAAAATCTACAAGTCTAGAAGCAAGATATCACTATTATTTCAAAAATATTTATATGTATTAGGTATTACGTATATAAATTTAATTATACGATAGATACATACATGATTTTTAGATGATAAAAAAAATAATCTTTTAGTATTAAAGATT